TTTCTTTCTCCTTTTCTCAGGCTTATTTTCTAGCTTATTTTTGAAGTTATATATTTATTTCTATTCTTTCATGTCTAACAAAAAGTCAAGAATAAAAAAACAAAAGGGAATATGTCCACCATATATAACTAGGTAGACAGATATCCACATATATATAAATAAACATATATAAGTCTATGCCGATACATTTGAGAGTCTTCTCACAATAGTTTTGAATATAATGCAAATTATTTATATATTTAATATTCTATAAATACAATCAAAATAACAATGGTTATCATACACTAAGTCCTTTCTGAGTGTGTCAGTACATAAGTCACTATACTTGTTTCGACTCATTTAATGCCTCACAACAAACTTAGCTAAATACTATTATTATCTTTGTTTTGCACATAAGGAAACTGAGTCACAGAGAGATTATTTTCCTCAGGTTACACAGTGAGAAGGTAGCAGAGCCAGGATATAAACCTGTGGTCTTGTGTAATATGCACCACTCTATTAGGCTTCAGTTATTTTATCTATAAAATGGGCATGACACTACTTACTTTTCGGATGTATTATATAGAGTCAATTAGCTTGTGTATATAAAGCACTTAGCACAGTGTTTAACATGTGATAATTCCTCAATTAATGAAAACTATTATTACAATCTTATAGCAATAAAATACTTACTGTTTAATAAAATTTCCCATTAATGAAACATATACAGTCTGATAAAACTTGACAGTTTTCCCAATAATTCACCAAACATTTACTATGTGTTGGGCATCATGTTAAGTGCTTTACACTGACTACCTCCTAAGCCCCATGGTAGGCTGGTTTCTGATGAGACAGTTGAGGCACAGAGGTTAAATTACTCGCAGATAGTTTCAACGGAGTGGAGCCAAGATTTTGAACCCAAGCAGTTTTATGCCTGCAGTGAATTTTATTTCCGTGATGTTGTGTTTACAGAATACTTTGTGTATAAACTCTTAACTTTGCATTTCGGTTACCCTGTGGAGGCTGCACATAAAATGAAAATATCACAAGCCATTTTTACTGCCATATACGAAGTATCAGAACAATATAACGTTATTTGAGAGTGGATTTTACTATTAACATCTCCATGATGTTTCCACAAATGCTTTGTCAGGCATTCAATTAGTACCGACTTGCGCTTACCAAATATTTATATATTTTTAAAGGATAGGAGAGGACACAGCAGAGGAAAAAGCACAAAAGCAGGAGTCCGGAGACATTGATTCTAGTTCTTTTTCTGCTACGGACTCACTGTGAAACCTCTGCAAGTAACATAATGTCCGTGGCTCAGTTTTCTAATGAGCAAAATAAGGGGAATGCAATAGCAGAACCTCTCCATTAACTTCACGGGACTGGAATGAAATATTCCCAGAACAAGGAATATCACTAGTGATTAAAACAGTGTTTATTATGGACTTACAGAGAGGCATGACTGGTTTTCATCTTTATTTAGCAAGAATTAGGGAATTACTAAATATTCCTAAATAATTAGAGGTGGATTGTATTTAAGAAAGCCTAGACTATTACTTGAGAAGATCATGCAGACAAAATTATTAAAAATATACATTTTTACAAGAGTTGTAATGATTTTCCTTTGG